AGAGCAGTGATTTAATCTGAATCTTACGGTTTAGAATGAGTTAGGCCTCAGAGAACTACAGAGTCTTAAGGGCACACAGGTCCGGGGGTGGGGGGCATTTCAGAAAAAGGATCCAGACAGCTTTCTACAGAGTAGATTAAAAGGCTGAAGCCAAGACAGAGAGGGCAGCGGGTTCTAGTCTGAGTGGGGGCTGAGGCAGGATGTCTTGGTGCCTGTCACCTGGCAGTTGAGTCTCCTAGGGAGTAGCAGAAACAGAAGTAGCACTTGCAGTCACAGAGTGGAAGCTTGTCCCAGCCTGCCAGGGTCCATCCATCATGTCTCCCCTTTGGTGGTGGTGTTAACTGTAAAATAAATCCCTGATCTTTGTTTTCTTCTTGCCTGGGGCCTCAGCTAAGGCGGGGTCATCTGAAGCCAGAGATGGAGGGTTTACCTCAGCAGAGGACCCTGAGGACATGGGTCACACTGCACAAGTCCTGTGGCACAGCAGGTTTTGTAGATTGCCTGGGAACTGGTGGCCAGGGCCTGGTGGAAGGTAGGGGACGGGTATGGGGGCTTTGAGAGGAGACTGGCCACAGGAGGTGGTGCGGGGTGCTGATGGACTGGCACTGCCTGAGTCTCAGCCTGGTAGAACCTCAGAGGGGAAGGGAGAAGAGACACAGGTGTGGGGACAGGCTCTGGCACTGTTCCTCACCAGGTGGAAGGAGGTTCCTGGGCTGGTGCCTAGAAAGCTTTCAGACCATATCAAAGGACATAGAGTGTGAAGTTAGGGGACCCGTAAGAAGAAACATGGCCAGAGAGGCCCTCAGGAGTCTAAACTGCCGAGGTTTCACACTGAGGTGCACCTAGACACCACAGCAACACCCCAGAAAGGAAGGGACCTCAGCATGCCTGCTCCCAGTGAGCAGGATGGAGAAAACTGCTTGAGGACCTCAGGCCTGGGAGAGTCCAGGCCAAGGCCTGGGGTCCCTGGAATAGCAGAGTGGTGGGGGCATCCTGTAGCTCCAGGAATCCAATCCCCAGGCTAGGTCTCTCACACAGGCCCCTCCATCCCAGGCAAGTACCTGCCCTGGAGGGTTTTCTGCTTACTCATTCCAGGGTCTGACTTTCAGAGCCATAAATCTTCAACTGGAGATCATGAATTTTCCAGGGTATGATTAATGAAAGAAAAATTGAGATGGCAGTACAGAAACTGACCGGACTGAAGAAAGTCATGGTGACAAGCTGGTTGCAAGTTTTAGGCCATCACAGGCAAACCCAACAAGCTTCTAAACCATGCTGGAGCACCACCTAGTGACCACAGAGGATAGTAGCACCCATTCTGTCCCCTACAAAACTCCATGGTTGTTGCAGTGGGCCTGCAGGGCCAGAATCCTAGGAGTTTTGACCTAATCTCACCTGGGGCTGCTCTGGTACAAAAGGTCACGTGGGACCACTCTCCACAATGTGGGGGTGGGGTGGGGGCTCGAACAACTCGAATGGCTAACTCCAATCCGCTACAGCTTCTGGAACCATCTCTGGTTTGGTGCTAACAGAAATATCCCTCACTTTTTTTTTGTATGTGTGCAAAGTCTGGGCCACCTTCTTGTTTTCCCACTTATCAAAGTCCCCTTCAGTCCTTAAGCCCAGCACACCCTGTCAACACTGCTGTCAACCATTGGACCATGTCTCACTGGTTCTACATGGTCACCTGACGCATGGCCACCAGCTCTTACCTAGTCACTGCAGTGATTCCCGAGTGTGTTTGGCTTTCTCTTGCCCTCAATAGCCTCTTTTGAGAACCACAGCTGTGGTGATCTGTCCAATAATGTCACACTCAGTCCCAGAGCAGAACACCCACATTTTCTTACCCGTGAGGTCCCCCGGATGCCCTGTGCTTTTGTCTACTACCACAGTCACTCTGTGGTAACCACATAATGGCTTACTCCTCCTTGATAGCCCACGCTTGGGCCTCAGGGCCTTTTAACTCGCTGTACCCTTTTTCTAAAACATTCCTCCCTCCTTATTCACATGGCATACTCCGTCTCTTTACTTGGTCCTTCCTCAAATGCCACCTTATGCACAAGGCCCCATCTAGACCCAGTTGCTCTCTAACTCCTTACATGTCCTTGTTTTCCTTCCTGGCTCCTGTTGGTGCCTAAATTCCATCTGAGCTTGCCTGTCATGTTAGTGTCCCCATGAGAATCTCCTCTCCTCGAAAGGTGTGCTAGGACTGTGGACTGCTGTCTGTACAGCCTGGTATTTATTTAATAACCATGTGCCTGGCTTGGGTCTATGGGCTGTATAAGCAAAAGCAGAGTGACCCCTAGAGAAGCTGCTCCCCTTCCTCTCACCTTGCCTGCTTATGGCAGGCCTCTGCTCACGCAGACTCTTTGTTCATGCATGTGTCCCAGCAAGAGGAGACGGAGGGTGGGAGCTGTGCTCACTTCAGGGAGTCAGGGGCATCAGCACGGTCTCTGGAACATGGTAGCTGCTCAGGAAACACCTTTTCCTTTATTTTCTCTTTCTTTTAATCTTTTCTTTCTTTCTTCTTTAACATTGAGTCTTAGTGATCAGAGAAGTTAAAAGTACTTTTATTATTGATTTCAGAATCTAAGAAGTAATTTTACATGACTAAGCTAAATCTGAGATGACCTCTTATCAAGGTTGTGTGCATTTCAGGGTGGCACTGTGGCCCTCAGGCCTAGAGGACACATTCCACCCCTCCTCAGGGGATGGGCTCAGCCACATGAAAGGAGGTGCTGCTGAGTCCCACTAGCTACATAATGAGTTTAGTCTCCTGGTCTGTTACCCTGGCATTTGGGCTGCCAAGTGTTCAGGCCCAGAAGTCTCCACTCGTAATTCTGAAGTCCAGACAGCAATCCTCAGCAGCAGCTCTGTCCTGAAATTCAGGTTTCTCAGGAAATGCCTTTTCAGCAAATAAGGCTGAACTCCGTATTCCTTAGTCCATTGAAATTCTCCCACCAGGGGCTAGAGAGATGGCTTGGTGGTTAAGAGTATTGGTTGCTCTTGCAGAGGACCCAGATTTGATTCCCAGCACTTACATGGTGGCTAACAACCCTCTGTAACTCCAGTTCCAGGAGAACCAGCACCTTCTTCTGGCCCCTGTGAGCATTGTATGCATGTGGTGTACTTACATACATGCTCGCAGAAGACTCATACACATAAAAATAAATAATATTTAAATTCTTCTACCAGGAGTTAGGTCACACAGTCAAGGTAGACAGAGTTGAGTGTGAAATCCTCACCTGTGACTCTCAATCCCCATCTACCCTCCCACCATGCACGGAATGTTCTTGTCTTGTACCTGCCCCATGACCACCCATCCTTCAGCGACTGCCTCTTTCGGCTGGCATCTCTGATGCGGACAGTGATGGCCTCTTCTGAACTTCTGTAGCCTTTATTTGACACCAGTGTATACTGGCAGATGCTGCATTTTTATTGCCCCTCTCCAGCCAATACAGAGGCCCCTGGAAGGCAGTTCTCAACCGTGGCTGTAGCTTTTCTGGCACAGGATACTATGTTCTGTAGGTACTCAATAAATATTGGCTGACTGATGGATTGGCCCCTCAGACTCAGCACACTTCCCTGGAGCTTGGAGAGAGCAGAGTGTGTCAGCTCTATGGAGCATAAAACAAAGCAGGTGTAGAGATTTGCAGCTGCGAAAGGGAAATTTCCCCAGGTAGAGCTTCTGGCTTCAGTCACAGCCCCAGGGGCGCTGGCAAGGAGGGTCCGTTTTCAAGTCCACCATGCCTGCTGTTGCTAGCTTAAATAGATGGTGAGGTGTGTTAGCTAACTTTCTCATTACTTTGACAAAGTACCTGACAAAAGTACTTAAGGAAGGAAGTTTATTGTGGCTCACAGTTTGAGGGACTGTCCATCATGGTGGGGGAGGTGTGGCCAAAGTCAGGAAGCAGAGAGACAATGCTGGTGTTCAGCTCTTCTTATTTAGCCTGAGGCAGAGATGGTTCTGTACACGTTCCAGGTGGATCTACCCCCCCCAACTTAGGCCAGAGGTATGTTTCCATGGTGATTCTACATCCCACTAAGGTGAGAATGAAGATTAACCAACACCAGGAGAATGGTGTGGACTCCCATGTCCTGCCCCTTCCAGCTTTTCTTCCTTTACCCATGAAATGTGTTCTTCAGACTCCTGAGAACAGTGGGTAAATGACCCCTCTGCTCAGGGGCATGGGACATGGCCACTGAAGTCCTGGCTCCGAGAAGCCTATGCTCCAGGTTCTCTTCTAATGCCCATAGACCTGCTGTTCCTTCTTCCCCCAGTTACACGTGCTCCCTCTCCCAGCCTCTGTTCTGACCCTCAGATCTCTTCTTTGTCCAACATATAACCTCAGCTGGTCATTTGTCATATATTTATTTATTTATTTATTTATCTATTTATTTAATGTGTAGGAATGTTTTGCCTGCACATATGTAAGTGCACCATGTACATGTAGTGCCTGAAGAGGCCAGAAGAGGGTGTCAGATCCCCTGGCACTAGAGTTATAGACTGTTGTTAGCCATCATGTGGGTGCTGGGAACTGAACCCATGTCCTATGCAAAAGAGCCGCTCCTTGAGCCCACATTGCTCTGTGTTGTACAGCAGTAGCCCTTCCTTCAGGTCCGGCTTAGCATTCTCTTTCACCTGGCAGATCGGGCAGTGTCACAGGTTGAGATCAGGACACTGGCTTTCTGAGCCATCTCTCCAGCCCATCATTCGTGTATTTTGCTGTGTGGTTTTTCCTTTGTCTTATTTAATATCTTCTGAGCAACTCCATGAGGTTCATGAAGCTATCTGAACCCATTTGCCAGAATGGGTGACTGAGGCATGGAATGACAAGGGGGGGGTGTGTCTGTGTCACAGGATTTAAGTCTATGACAGTACCTGGCTAGTCTTACCTCTTCTGTGTCCCAGAGGTAGGGGTAGAGTGTGGGCACAGTTTGCTGGGTTCTGAGATGAACATAAGAGCAATGCTGGTCTAACTGGTTGCTTCTCTCTCCAGCTCTGTGGCTGCGGGCTGCTTGGAGTAGGCATCTGGCTCTCCGTGTCCCAAGGCAACTTTGCCACCTTCTCCCCCAGCTTTCCCTCGCTGTCTGCAGCCAACCTTGTCATCGCCATAGGCACCATCGTCATGGTGACGGGCTTCCTGGGCTGCCTGGGGGCCATCAAGGAAAACAAGTGTTTGCTCCTCAGTGTGAGTTGAACCCCATACCCCACCTTGAGTTCTGGGGAGCCCCAACCTAAGCCTGTGGAAAATGACTCCAGAATGTTCTGTGCATAGCCCTAGCTGACCCCCTCACTCACATGTGGTCTGGGTTTCCTTAGGAGTAGGTGACCCCTCCCAGACCTGGGAACCTTGCCCATCCCTTGCATCTCCTCTGTCCTATTTGTCATCTGCCTCTAGCCACTGCCACTATCCTGTGCCCATGTCTGGACTTCTTTTTGCAGTTCTTTGTTGTGTTGTTGATCATCCTCCTGGCAGAGCTGATTCTGCTCATCCTCTTCTTTGTCTACATGGACAAGGTAAGCCTTGAGGGGAGTGAGCTGGACGGTCACAGCCCTAGGGGTGGGTCAAGGCCAGGTAAGAGGAAAACACTGTCATGCAGCAGCAGCAGAGTGGAACTCACTAGGCCTTACGGTCCCACTCTAGCCACTTCCCCTCCTGTCTGGAAATGCTTCCTTAGCAGCCCCAGCTGGCCTGGTGTGGGCTTTGGGAAAAAGCCAGTGTCCTGATCTCACCCAACCTGTATGTTGTCTCTGACTTGCCAGGTAAACGAGAACGCCAAGCAGGACCTGAAGGAAGGGCTGCTGCTGTACAACACGGAGAACAATGTGGGGCTCAAGAATGCCTGGAACATTATCCAGGCCGAGGTGCGGCTCAGGCCTCTGTGTGGGATTGGATGGGACAGGCCTCAGGCTGTCTCCCAGAAGGCCCATAGAGCACCTGTACTGTTTAGAGCATTTACCTGGCCACTAGGTTAGATAACTGTGGGGTGCTGCTGGGAAGGGGTGAAGATATAACAAGAGCAGGGTGACCTGTGTGTGGGAGCGGGCAGCCCTAAGGAGTTGTGGTGAGTGCCTGAACATCCTAGTAAATGATAGGAGCCACCTCACTCCCTGCTTGTGCATGGTTCGAGTGACAGACTGTGATGCTGAGAGGAAGAAATACAAGTCAATATTCCCAGCTTCGCTGTGTATAGATCCTAGGGAGAGGATAGTGGGTGGGTAGGTTGGCAGCCAGCTTGGGAGGGTCCACACCACAAAAGAAGGAGCCTGAGGTGCTGGTGGTCAAGTGGGGGGCTGGGGCCTCCTTGTCCACACCTGGAGCCCAGCCCTGAATGACAGCAGCCTCACCCTCTTCCCCTACTGTTCTCTAAGAAAAAGTAGCCACTGTCTCCAGGGGTGTCACTGTAGCTCAAAGGAGGGGCAAGATGAAAGCTCGTTTTCTCATCCTTAAGCTCTGGGGTATCTTCTTTGGTGTGGATAGGGTTGGCTCGGACAGGAGATAACCTGGGGAGATGGGGAAGCTGTGACATATTTGACTTCTCTCTCACAGATGAGGTGTTGTGGGGTCACTGACTATACAGACTGGTACCCAGTGCTGGGGGAGAACACAGTTCCTGACCGCTGCTGCATGGAGAACTCCCAGGGATGTGGGCGCAACACCACCACCCCGTTGTGGAAAACGGTGAGGTTGGATGCCAGTGCTTTGCAACCCCCCCACATACCATAAGCTCATGTGGCAGAAAGGATGGGCTGAGAGCACAGGAATTAGTTCACTGAGGAGGGGGCTGAACTGAAGCCAAATGCTGTGTGTCTGTGTGTACATGCACACATCTGTGTGTGTACTGGACCCACAGTTGGGAGAGTCAGAGGGTGGATGATTGGATGAAGTTGAGGCTGTGTAGCTGGGCCTTACAAATGGAGCCTGGGGGCGGGACTGCTCCTAGGGAGGAGGAGGACCAGGGACAGTAAGGGATGAGACACAAGAGCAAGGACAGGGGCTGGGGCAAAGTGAGGTGGATCCAGGCTGAAGGGAACTCAGCATCATGCCAGGTTCTTATCCTGTGGTCCACTCTCCAGGGCTGCTATGAAAAGGTGAAGCTGTGGTTTGATGACAACAAGCATGTGCTTGGCACAGTAGGGATGTGCATCCTCATCATGCAGGTAAGGGGAACCCAGGAGCCCTGACTTCCTGTGGGATGCAAACTAGAACAGGAGCAACCTGATGCAGACATTGCAGAGGTCAAGGGTAGAGCCTCCAGGCCCAGCAGCCAAGCCCCTGTCATGCTGCAGGGCTCTGGGTAAGGTCACAGGTACTGAGCAAGATGATGCTCAGCACTGAGTGGGGACCATGATGCTAGATTCAACGTCACTCAATATAGTGTCCACAAGATCCAAAGAAGGTGCACACAGTGTCCCCAGGTCCCCAGCTTTACAGTTTGAGCATGTGACACCCTGAGTGGTGGCTGCGAATCCGCATCTTGCATCTCTGTCCCCACCTGCATTCAGGATTCTGATTGAAGGATACAAATGAGATTTAGTATTCAAAGCACTTAACATCCAAAGATGTCACTTCACTTCTGTCTTAGTTTGTTCTTCATTGCTGTGACAAAATACTCTGACCACTACCAACTTGGGGAGGAAAGAGTTTATTCAGTTTACAACTCCCAGGTCGCAGTTCATCAGGGAGCCCAAGGTAGGAACTCAGGGTAGGATCCTGGAAGCAGGAACTACAGCACAGGCCATGGAGGAACGCTGCTTACTGGCTTGCTCCCCTGGCCCCTGCTCAGCCTGCTTTCTTATACAACACAGGCCCACCTGCCCAGGGGTGGCACCACCCACAGTGGGCTAGGTCCTCCCACATCACTCATCAAGAAGATGCCCCTCAGACATGGCCACAGGCCAGTCCAATAGAGGAAATTCCCCAACTGAGGCTCTCTCAACCTAGGTATGTCAAGTTGACGCTAAAGCTATCTAACACAATTGACCCCTTGTCAACTTGACACACAAACATCACTATTAAACCATAACTTTCCAATTTCTGTCCCCAAGGTATGATGTTAATATCACAACATAAGACAGTACAACCTTAAAAACCCCCACAGTCCTTAAAAAATCCAAACACTTAAAAGTTCATAGTCTCTTTTAAAATTCTCTTAACTGTGGGCTTCTGTGAAATCCAAAACAAGTACTGTCTTATTTAAAAGGGAAGAATTGGGCACACCTCAGCAAAACCAAAGTCCAGCAAAGTAGCTAGAGGCTGGACATTTGGGATTCACTCACGATCTTCTGGGCTCCAAAGGGTACCGGCAGCTCTACTGCTCTGACTCTGCAGTCCACAGCACACTCAGCTCGTCTCGCAGACCCAGGCCAGCTCCATTCCACACTTACTGCTGTCCTTGGTGGTCGTCCCATGGTCCCGGCATCTCCAAAAAGCTGGGGTCTCCACTGAAACTGAGTTTACACCTTCACCAATGGCCTCTTCTTGCCTCTTGGGGTGCAAAGC